ATAAATAAGACTTCAGCACTTATTAGTCACAGGTGCAATATCAGTTTATACAGCCATCCAACAGGGCAGGCTTGTAATAGATTAAAAGACTTTATCTTGGATCGAGAACTCATTCCAGAAAAAACTCGTAAAGTATGATATTCACTACGCATCCTGTAAGCTGGCATTGACTCTTTATGGTCAGTGGATTTAATTCACATCGTGAGGAACTGCAAGAACTCCAGCTATTTGTGTTAAAGAAATAGAAGTACACAAGGACACATAACCTCTAACTTGCAGCAAGAAGAACTATACAATTATTAAAGCATAATTTGTCTCTCTTGAGATGCTTATTTAAGATACATTTAGAGATTAGAAAATAACAAAATAGTGAAAGAAATGTGAATAACTGGCATTCCTATTTACTAATATCAACCACCCATCTAAAAAGTGCTATAAGTAACCGCTAATTAAAAAAGAAGAACCCAATAAACTTTAATCTACTTTTAGAATGTGATAGTAGACACACATTTATCAACACATCGGTTATTTATGTGTACTAAAAAAATATTTTTAGTACTTACTTCTTCACCCATGGTCTTCAAACGAGTCACAAACAACTTTCTACCAGATACCTGTCAACCAAAACATGCAGAACGTAAGATACCTGTGAATTTATAGAATTTTCACACCAGGAAAAAAGACCTTGTCACAAGTATGTTTACAATATGTTTATTTTAGAAACAGTATTTTATAGTGTTTGTTATCTTGCAATTCATTACGGAAAACACCGTGGCTCAAGTCTAATGAAAGGAAGTATTTCCTATTTATAGGACATGTATCAAGTCTTTTACCACTGCACATAGTACATATGTTACTTCTACTGTGTCTTTCATTTTAAAACAGTGGCAGAATGTTAAGCGATGATCTTAAAATCCATAGTGCTACATGTATGAACTTGGATCTTGCAACTTTCTTTACTTACAGGCAAAATCACATTGCCTTCAACTTAATATTTATATAAGCTTTTTTCTTAAATTTAATATTTTTATATACAATTTTCCTTTTTTTTAAAAATTAAAATATTAAAATATGAATAAGATACAGTTGTGCTCAAACGTTTGCATACCCTTTCAGAAATTATGACATTTTGGCATTGATTTTGAATATATGACTGATCGTGTAAAAAATTTATTTTATTGAGGGATAGTGATCACATGAAGTCATTTATTATCACATAGTTGTTTGGCTCCTTTTTACATTATAATGATAACAGAAATCATCCAAATAGCCCGAATCAAAACACGCAAGGTTACACACAGGTTAAAATGGCAATTAAAGGTTAATTTCCCACATCTGTGGCTTTTAAATTGCAATTGGTGTCTGTGTATAAATAATCAATGAGTTTGTTAGCTCTCATGTGGATACACTGAGCAGGCTAGAAAATGAGCCATTTTGAGCAGTAAAGAACTGCCAAAATACATGTGTAACAAGATAATGGAACTTTATAAAGATGGGAAGGATATGAAAAGATATCCAAAGCCTTGAAATGTCAGTCAGTACTGTTCAATCACTTATTAAGAAGTCGAAAATTCGGGGATCTCTTCATACCAAGCCAAGGTCAGGTAGACCAAGAAAGAGTTCAGACACAACTGCCAGAAGAATTGTTCAGGATACAAAGACAAATCCATGGGTAACCTCAGGAGAAATACAGGCTGCTCTGGAAAAAGATGGTGTGGTTGTTTCAAGGAGCAGAATTCGACGATACTTGAACAAAAATGAGGTCGAGTTGCCAGAAAGAAACCTTTACTGCACCAATGCCACAAAAAAGCCTCGTTACAGATTCTGGTGCACTGTAATTTGGAGTAATGTGTCACAACTATAAGCGCTATGTTTGGAGAGGGGTCAACAAGGCCTATAGTGAAAAGAATATATTCCACACTGTGAACCATGGCGGTGACTCACTGATGTTTTGAGGGGGTGTGAGCTCTAAAAGCACAGGGAAGCTTGTGAAAATTAATGGCAAGATAAATGCAGTATGTTATCAGAAAATACTGGCAGACAATTTGCATTCTTCTGCATGAAGGCTGCGCATAGGATGCTCTTGGACTTTCCAGTCAGACAATAACCCTAAGCACAAGGTCAAGTTGATCCTCCAGTGGTTACAGCAGAAAAAGGTGAAGATTCTGGAGTGACCATTTCAGCCTCCTGAAATTAATATCATTGGGCTACTCTGTGGGGATCTCAAACGTGTGGTTCATGCAAGACAACCAAAGACTTTACATGGTTAAATAGTGGTTTAAAAGGGTGTTGCACCACTGAAGATAAAGGTGTTTTAGACCTTGGTTAAATACAAATAGAGAAGAGATACTGGTGAGACACTAGTTAAAAAAGTAACTTTTATTGCTAAAATTAAAAATAGTTCCCTGATGTAGGGATACTAGGACAATAGTGCACAATTGAACTAGGTAAATGAGGGAAAGAAGGAAAGAGTGTTTGTATGAGACCTGATGTACTTAAAAAATGGCACCAAAGTTTACTTGTGTAAAAGGAGGACATGTTTTGTAACAATTTGAATTTGGCTAAATGGCATGTTTGCAAATGACATTTACCATACTGCTCTGAGTAAGTCCTCTTTTTTCTTTTTACAAAAAGTGCAGATTTTAGTAGAAATGGATACTTTTATAAATTAACCTAGTTTCCCCTCCCTCGGCTTTTAGGCAAAACAAGATGTTTTGTTACTTCCTGTTTTGGTTAGCTTATTTGAGCTAAACTCAAGAGGCAGCAATTGTCCTGAGCACCTGCCTTGCAAAGACTTCTCATTGAGCTGCATTGGGAAGTCTGTGATTGGACAGCCACGGAATGTCTGTAGATCTGCCGAATTTGCCACCTGTTTTAATATATTCAGGGCAACCATAGCGGTTGTCACGCGCCCAGCGGTCCTGGGGGGCCCGGACTGCTTTGGCAGTCATGGGCCCCACATTCCCTCTCTGCACATATATACAGTTGCAAGCAAAAGTATGTGAACCCTTTGGAATGATATGGATTTCTGCACAAATTGGTCATAAAATGGGATCTGATCATCATCTCACAACAATAGACAATCACAGTCTGCTTAAACTAATAACACACAAAGAATGAGTTTTTTTTTTTTTCACCTGCACTGTGAATGTTTACATGGTGTGTTCAATAAAAACAGGGCAACATTTCATTCTTTGTGTGTTATTAGTTTAAGCAGACTGTGATTGTCTATTGTTGTGACTTAGATGATGATCAGATCACATTTTATGACCAATTTGTGCAGAAATCCATATCATTCCAAAGGGTTCACATACTTTTTCTTGCAACTGTATAGCGATGATCGCTATATATATGTGCAACAGCAGGCCCCCCGGCTCCCTATACTTGCAGAGGGGGCCCAGCAGACTGCAGCTATACTTTACAGCTCTTCCCTCTCTCTAACTCCCGCGAGACGTGCAGCCGTCAGATCGTTGACGTGGGTTACCATGGTAACGCTCCGCGCGGCACGCACACCATGCCACCGGACCACTAGGGATGGAATCTCCCCCCTCCCTGGGCCAGGTAAGAAGCAGGGAGGGGGGAATAACATGTATTACATTTACATTACATTACATGCATACACTAGTAAACACACACACACTCTGCATTAATTACACCAACACACTCTCCATTCATTACACTAACACACACCCTGCATTCACTACACTGACACACACTCTGCATTCACTACACTGACACACTCTGCATTCACTACACTAACACACACTCTGCATTCATTACACTAACACACACTCTGCATTCACTACACTGACACACACTCTGCATTCACTACACTAACACACACTCTGCATTCATTACACTAACACACACTCTGCATTCACTACACTAACACACTCTGCATCCACTATACTGACACACACTCTGCATTCACTACACTGACACACTCTCTGCATTCACTACACTGACACACACTCTGCATTAATTACACTGACACACACTCTGCATCGACTACACTAACACACACTCTGCATCCCCTACACTGACACACACTCTGCATTCACTACACTAACGCACACTCTGCATCCACTACACTGACACACACTCTGCATTAACTATACACACAGCATCCACTACACAAACATCCTGTATTCACATTACACACACTACATCCACCATACATTAAAACACTCTGCATTCACTATACAGAGACACTGTGTCTAATACACACACTACATCCACTATAGACACTGCATCCACTAAACACATTGCATCTAGTATAGAAATCAGAGAAAAGGTTCAGCGCTGATAAGAAACAGGGAGTATAATAACAAGGCAGCACACCTTAAAAGGGGAATCCCCTCTGAACCCCTTAAAGTACAATAGAAAAGAGAGAAAAGAATAAGGGTGCGCCTAAAACAAGTAAAAATAGTAAAATGAGAATAGCAGCAATAACAAAAAATTCGGAAAAATGTCCAAATAATATAAAAAATGGGATAACCACGGTACCTAATAGTCCAAATATAAAATGTCCAAATGCACAAATGGTGGTCCTAATAGTCCATCAGAAGGGTATGTAGCGTCCCGGATAAGTATAAATATGCGGGGAGAACAGAAGAGAGAGAAAAACTCCAATGGTGTAGTATAAAAACAGAATATGAATATATAGTAAATATTTGTGGAACTATTCACAATCTTCAGAGCTTAAATCCAGCTCTGGTATGGATAGCGTGAAGTGGAATAATCCCCACTCAAGGATATGTGGTGCTCCTCTTTGGTCGGTATATAGAGCAGACGTACTGCTCGGTGAATGGCGTATGGGTGGTATAATCCCCACCTTAAGGATTCTTTGGTAGTCCAATATGGTCTAAATCGATGGTAGTTAGGTCTGGATAAAATGAACTTACATAGAATAAAATAATAATAAATAATATGATATAAAAGTGAAAAAGGAATGTGGCACACCAGTGTATAATAGCCAGATATTGATTTTAAAAAAGAAAGTTTCTATACGCGTTTCGCCACAAAGGCTTCATCAAGTAGAAACAGTATAAAAAAAAAGTATAGTATACTGTTTCTACTTGATGAAGCCTTTGTGGCGAAACGCATATAGAAACTTTCTTTTTTTAAATCAAAGTGTCATTAAAGGAATATCTGGCTATTATACACTGGTGTGCCACATTCCTTTTTCACTTTTATATCATATTATTTATTATTATTTTATTCTATGTAAGTTCATTTTATCCAGACCTAACTACCATCGATTTAGACCATATTGGACTACCAAAGAATCCTTAAGGTGGGGATTATACCACCCATACGCCATTCACCGAGCAGTACGTCTGCTCTATATACCATGAGTATATTTTATTTCATTTTTATTGTTTCACCAACCACACAGTGAGCACTATATATTTTTTTATTATTTTTATCCCGAGTTGAACTCCATCCTTCCACCAAAGGACCAAAGAGGAGCACCACATATCCTTGAGTGGGGATTATTCCACTTCACGCTATCCATACCAGAGCTGGATTTAAGCTCTGAAGATTGTGAGTAGTTCCACAAATATTTACTATATATTCATATTCTGTTTTTATACTACACCATTGGAGTTTTTCTCTCTCTTCTGTTCTCCCCGCATATTTATACTTATCCGGGACGCTACATACCCTTCTGATGGACTATTAGGACCACCATTTGCGCATTTGGACATTTTATATTTGGACTATTAGGTACCGTGGTTATCCCATTTTTTATATTATTTGGACATTTTTCCGAATTTTTTGTTATTGCTGCTATTCTCATTTTACTATTTTTACTTGTTTTAGGCGCACCCTTATTCTTTTCTCTCTTTTACATTGCATCTAGTACACACAAACACTACATCCACTACACAAACACACACTACATCCACTACTCAAACACTCTCTGCGTTCACTATACACACTGCATCCGCTACACAAACACACACCCTGCATTCACTGCACAAACCTTAGTCTAATACACACAAACACTACATCCATTACACACATTCTAATTCAATTCCACTATACACACCACATTCAGTCCTGCATCATTGTCAGCGGACTAGGAAGGAGTCCTGTGGGCGGAGTCGTGGGCGGGCCGGCGGGGGGGTGCACAGACCTTGTGCTTTGTCAGGGGCCCCAAAATTTCTGGTGGCAGCCCTGAATATATTCCCCAATGAAGAAAACACATAATTAAATAAATTAAAATTTGCATTTGGGGTATATCTTCTAAATAGGGATTTGTATTTATTTGGTATTTGGGCGGTTAAGTGCCTTCCAATATATCTCATATTATGTAGGCTACAAAGAAGATGCTAAAGCAACATTTCAGTTTGTTAGAATGGTACAGTTTAAACATGTTTTTTTCCAGGTCTGAGATATCTAACCTTTAGTATGTTTAAAAGCAGTCTTGAACATTGTCAAAATACTGAAGAGGTAACCAATCTGACTACAGATTGATGTATCTGTTACCAGAACACACAACCTAAGGTACCAGTGGTGTATTTTGGATTTGTGCTGCCCTAGGCACGACTAAATTTGTGCACCCCCAAAATAAAAATTTGCCCCCCCAATTCGTGTCAAGGCCATTTTTTTGACTGACAGACACATGCCCTCATGCACTACATGCACTGATATACACTCACTGACAGATACACAGACATTGGCACACACATACAGTCATTGGCACACACTGTTTAACCAACACACACTTTCACTGACAGACACACACTGACACACCCACTCACTGACAGGCACACACTCTCAGATACACATAAAATGACATACACACACTGACACACACACATAGGCACACCCATTTTAACTCACAGACACACATTGACAGCTACACTCACTCACTCACAGTAAGGTGGACAGCCCCAGAACACGACACAAACAAGGCATTTGTCTGGGAGCTTGGAGTGGCATTTCTTGGTGCGCTAAAGTGCCGCCCTAGGCAAATGCCTTGTTTGCCTTGTGGTAAATACATCCCTGTAAGGTACTAGCTGCAAACTGGAGAGATCTAAAGAATCCCCTACTGATTTTTTTTTAAAAGTAAAGTTCTGCTAATTTGTTATGTAAGGATATTGTTACACATTTTTGTTTATGTCAACAGTGATTGGGAAAAGCATTATGCATGACCTGACCAAATATGGAGTATCTGGTATGTCTTTACATCCATCAAATGAAATAAACAACTCTTAAAATACGCGATGAAGAGCACCTTACTTTGCTTCTAAAGAAATGCACAAACTGGGAGATTATTGGTGTGAATTGAATCATCTATTTTATTGTAAGTGTATTCATATCAATATCGCAGAATTGCAACTGTGAACATCAAAAAGACTGCTGGCAGGATAAAAAGTACACTTTCTCTAAATGCAATTATGCTGATATATTTTAATTTTCTTTATTCTGTCGTCTTTTTCTTTTCATATAGAATCACAGCCATAGTGACAGCTTTTTAAAATGACAAAGACAAATCTAGAGTAAATTATGTTAAACAATGGCTTAGAATACTTTGATTAGAAGATACAAATGATTTCTTTAGGATTTCAAAGTTTTGGGCATATGGTAGTTTTAAAATAATTGCTTAAACAATGGAGCAGATTCATCTATGTTTAAGACTTGCTAACAAAGATTAATAGCAATTTTACACTAATACAGTCCTTAAAGTTGTATTTAAAGTAAAGTTATTCCGGTTTTCAAATCAGCAGATGCTTAAAAACTACAACAAATGATCACGTTTCACACTTGATGTTGTTTTTTCAGCTTAATGGAATTTAGTAAATATGTTGCATCCGGAACACAAACTAATTTAATATTTTGAAACAAATAAGCATATCAACAATAAGAACAGTCTTTAGCATTCAATCAATTAATCAGTCCCCATAAAAGCTGTATTCATTCATATTACTTGGTGAAAGCACCATTCTTTAGGTAACAGATGCATTTAAACTGCAAAAGCAATCGCAAGTGTCTTATATGGCATTTGAAAAAAAATAATAGAACAATACATTGCATTCAACCATCCATCTATTTTCATACTTAATTGCTCTATTACAAAAGCTGCAATCTGGGACTTATTTGAGCAGATTGCTCAACATCTTTTGCGACTGCTATACATTATACATGGTGCCCACTATTAAAGAGATCTCCTCTTAGGTATTATCTAACGGTCATTATATAAATGAAAATGTATGGATCCCATTTTTTTTTAACTCATGCTGCTAATAAAGACAACTAGGAATGGGATAATTAATTTAAAGGAATACTCTAGGTACCATAACTACTACAGTGCATCAATGCATGAGTGTCCTGGCACTCACCGAATGTAAGTAGTCAAACTATTTCCTAACATGTTGACAATTTACCTGAGTTCACCGGGTGCCAATCATGTTCTCCGTGAAGTCTGGAAACTCTCAGCACTGAGCTAAGCCAAGAAATGCAGGGTTTAGTTCAATGGATGAGGCATTTAGCTGATACTCACAGCGTATGAGCCAGTCCTGCACTTCCGGGTTAACTCGGGGGAGCTAAGGGTAGCTCCCAGCAGGATCTTCTCACTTTCTGGTTAGGAAGTGACTGGTACCCGGCAGACCCCAGGTTAGCAAGTAAAGTGTTTGCAAATGGATTACCACTTACATTATAAGTATATAGTTCAGCATTGAGCAAACTTGTGTATTACGCACTGCTTTCCTACAATTTGTAGTAAGAGAGTGTAAGCTAAAATATAATTTTTTGGTAGTGAGAAAGGTCATGGTAGAAAGTCCACCAGTTCCTGATGTTCTCGTCCTGAGGAAGAAGAGGTAATAACCTATGGCCCATATTTCAGCTCAGATTTGTGCAGCTGGTAATCCACAGCTACCAGGTGTAGTTCTCGTAGTCACTACCAACCAGTCTGTGCATTATACTTATCCTCCACAAAGACTAAGAGCTGCTGGAAAGAATTGTGGAAGATATCTTCCTATGTTTCATGAAAAAACTGGAGAGATGTTTACTCAGTTCTCAATATCTCTGCTCATGCACACAATGAGTGATTCTATAGGCATTGCCACTGAAATAATGGAGACTGAAATATCACAATTACATATCTCAACTTTCTCTATGATGAGTCCACAAAACCACAAAGTACTTAGTTATCAGGCTTTTGTCACTTGACCACCAGGAATTAGCCATCAGCAGCTAGGGTAACAGGAGTAAGGAGGATGGGAGCACAGTCAATATTTATTTTAATATCTTAATGTGACAGTAAGTGTGTTGGTTCAAAAGTGTGTGAGACTTGAATGTGTCTGAGAGTGTATAGGAGTATCTGCCTTATTCTACATAAAAAATAATAAACAATTAAGTGCCAGTAATAGTCCAGAACACTCAAGCACTTTAGCTTGCTGAAATGCTTTATGCGCGAACACAGTGTGCTCTTTTTTTTTTCATCTTACAAAAATAAATTGCCACTTGTATAAGTTAACCCTGTTACATCCCCTGGATGCCAGTCAGATAACCGGTCATGTTACTTCCCAGTTTGGTTAGCTCAGTGGAGCCAAACTCAAGAGGTAGCAATTGCCCAGAGCACCTGCCTTCAGACAAGAGATCTGCAGCTTTTGCAAAATGTGTTTATATATACAGTGCATTTTTTGATTGGGGATATATTTACTAAATAGTGATATTTTAATTTATTTTGTATTTGGGCATGTCTTTAACGATGTCTTTAATGGTGTCTTCTTTAATCTCTCAGTAAAAAGTATATGGAGAAGATTTTAGATTTTCTAGCATATAACCAATGCCCACTTATTCTCAACTTTTATCTTTTAACCCCTTAAGGACACATGACATGTGTGACATGTCATGATTCCCTTTTATTCCAGAAGTTTGGTCCTTAAGGGGTTAAACAACATGAAAAATAATTCTTAAACAGTACTCTAAAATGCAATAAGAATCATAGCAAACCGTTCATAGCAAAATGCTAAAGATCTATGGAAATAGTTAGTCGGTATTAGCTAATTATATTGCTCATTTTATCTTCAATTAACTGTATCTTTGATTAACCTCCCCATCCAACAGTCCATGAATTAGAGAAAAAAAACTGGTTGACTAT